ACTTATTTAATTCTGAATTCTCCTAGGCTTGAGGGTTCAAAACAGGGCTTCTCTTTTTTGCTACCATCAATCTCCGAAGCCCAGGCTGAGGTCAAGTTTTCTACGCTCACGTGGCCAAGTGCTGCCACAAACGGCTATGTGTCCAATCTGAAGAGGGGGCCTGGCCTGGCGTTCAGAACGCCACATGTCGACTTCAGGGTTTCAGAGACTATGGTTTAGGGTTGTAGGGTTTTAGGGTTTTAGGGTTTAAGGGTTGTAGGGTTTTAGGGTTTCAGGGTTTCAGGGTTTCAGGGTTTCAGGGTTTCAGGGTTTCAGGGTTTCAGGGTTTCAGGGTTTCAGGGTTTTAGGGTTTTAGGGTTTTAGGGTTTTAGGGTTTTAGGGTTTTAGGGTTTTAGGGTTTAGGGTCTAGGGGTATGGGATCACAAGGGGGCCGTGTGGCTTTAGGGGTTCCAGGGCTTCAAGGCCCTCACCTCCGAAGGTCCCTGGGCTTTTCAAAGGCAGTGGTGGCGCAGCGTTTGCGGCGCCGCTCTGGGGAGCCTTGCTGCGACAAACATCTTGTCGTGTACTTATAGGGGGACCCTAAGGGAATACTAAGGGAATACTAAGGGAATACTAAGGGAATACTAAGGGAATACCATTAGCATTTATTCGACACCCCTAGTAGGGTGCTAGGACGCAAAGTAAGGCTCGACAGCTTTGCCAGCATGCCCCTTCGAGCGTTCGGCCCCAGATGCCTCAAAAGCCATACGGTTGGTCTTCTCACATTAAGCCCTAAACCCTAAACCCTAAACCCTAAACCCTAAACCTTTAATATCGGCTCTGAGAGGCTTTTCGGCGCGCTGGGACCGTAGCTCTCTGAGTCACGGACGAGCTTGCGAGCGCCCTACTGCGCTCCTAGCTCATCCAGCGCGAGGTCTGGAGACCCGATGCCCTATTGAACCTTCAGTTGGAGGAGGGCCTGAGGGGCTTAAAGCTTTGGCTTGATTAGACAAAGAACCCCCCCAAAATAAACACACACACACACACACGCGCACAGAACTCATGGAACAACGAGGCATAAAAGCCGAAGGCAACCCTGAAACCCTAAACCCTATGGACGTTTAGAGGTTTAGGGGCTAAGGGGACTTTCTACGGAATTTTTTGCCACAGCTCTCATGGGGCATGGCCTCCAAATGCAACAATCATGGCGCAATCTCATCGGCCGCAGAGGGGAGGCCGCTCTTCCCTTCCACAGGGATCGGCGTCCCCTTTTCTGCCCAATGCTTCTACGTAAAACTGGGAAGGCAGTGGATCTGAAGCTACGATGAAAAGAGGTCGGTGTTGAACTGGAAACCTGTGAACAAGTCTGGGGGTTGCCGGTGCAGGTTGCTACGTTGATCTCGTACCAAATCCTGATCCCAACACTACACACCCGAAGTTCCCCCTTCCCAAACAAGCATCTTAGAAGCAGGTCGACGAAAAGCTGACGTAGCGATCATCGCAACGAATGTGTTTCGGGTCGTTGGTGAAACAACCGTCAACCGTGTGGAATGCTGTCGTCTTTAGCTTGATAGAAGCACACAGCAGATGCCAAATGACGACGGGCCCCTTCTTCCTGTAACTTAGCCCTAAACCTCTATTTGTCATTGACGCAGCCGGCAACCACAAACGCCCGTTAGGAACGCGGATCCCATAGCGATGGTTTATCTTGCACTTGAGTGTTGTCAATCGTGTGGTGTACTCTATAAGCTCAAACCCTGAACTCTAATACGTTCTCGTGTAATTTGGGTCAAGGTGACGGTTGTTCACCGATGCACGATCATATGGCCTGATTCGCAGCTGTGCACGTGCAATGCATGGGAGGACAAAGGCCCACTATTCCTGCGATTTGGCTTGCCCGCGTGGGCGTTGCATGCAGCCATCGTCTGCAACATCCTACGTCCAAGATAAATGCATCATGCAGGGAGTTTTCTTCACAGGGTATTTCAGAGGCTTGGTTGCCGAGCAACCTAGGAATAGAAAGGGTGCCCTTTCCCTTATAAAGGGATTAACCAGAGGCATCCAAGACGGGTGAACTTGCTAAGAGGGAAAGAAGGAATGGGCTGAGGGTGCAGGGTTTAGGGTTTGGGGTTTCCCGACTCACCAACAGTAAGCAGCCTAACAACCTTCGTCTTGGCTTCCTTTGCAACAGCGCCCGGGGCTACTAGCTGGCAGCGGCGAGAGTCTCAGAAACCTTCAACTGCGATCACTGAGCCGGCAAGGCCTTCAGCCCTCTGAACAGTACAACCACCTCGGAATCCCGCAAACAACTAGAAGGCTTTTACATCCCCAAGCCACCTGCCTTCTCTGTAGCTTGGGGCCCCTAAACCCCCTTAACCCCCCACCGAAAACCCATGAATACCTCCCAAAGCTCACCCGCGGACTCTTCGGCCTGGCTGCTGCCCTGAGCAGTGCAACATTAGGCAAGCTATAGAGGATTGCAAGCATATCGCGAGCGTCGTCCGGGTGATGGGAATCCCTTCCTCCTTAACAGTAAAGGCCCCTGCGTTGTTTCATGTTTGTGTCTGCGTCGTTAATTTCGTTATGATTCGTCTGAGTGCTCTTCATTGCCTTTTCGCACCGGGGTGGGAGGGAGTGCAGGCGAAACATGACTAAACCTACCCGGGAAGTTCGGGAGTTTGGGTCAACCTTTCAGTTGTTCAGGGGGGGTTTGCTCATGCGGCACAGGGACCTCCCCAGCGCAGGGTAAGCTTCAACCTCAGGGAACTCAGATCCTCAACTACTTGAGGAAACCCTCCAAAACCCAAAAACCCAGACCTTCGGGAAAAACAAACAAGGGCCCCCCAACGCCGGGGCTCCTCTCGAAATCGGCACACGGGGCGCTTAAACCAGGGTCGGCCCCCCCCCTTCGGCCCCCCGAGGCCAAAGCAAACCCTAAACCCAAAACCCAAAACCCTAAACCCTAGCCCTAAACCCTACACCCCTAAACCTTAAACCCTTAAGGGACTGAGCGCCTTGGCGTGATTGTTGGGTCTGGGGAGGTCGCCTACCAGCGCCTAAGTCCGAAACGCCGCAGTCTACTTCTGCTTTGCTGCCTACCGGCCTATCGCAAGGGTGGCGCGTGTCGAAACGCCTTGGAAGACGTGGTGCATGGTAACCCTAAACCCTAAACCCTAAACCCTAAACCCTAATTTGGTTTTTGGTTGACCTAGGATGGCCCCTAAAACCATCCCAAAAATATGCCGAAATAGGATCCAAAAACATGTGCCTAAGTATGATCCTCTTAAACCAGTAAGGGAAAATGTTAAAATGCCCCAAGGCCTACCTAGTAGCCGGCCCTAAACCCTAAACCCTAACCCTAAACCCTAAACCCTAAACCCTAAATCCTAAACCCTAAATCCTAGAGGCCTCAAAGGGGGGTTCCCTAAGTGCTTCCATCGTGCGGGCTGGCCATGAGGGCGTTTGCCTCCGGCAGCCGCAGCCTGCAAGATAAGATGATGGACTCATGGAAAAATACCCCTAAACCCTAAACCCCAAACCCTAAACCCTAAGCCCTATATCAGCCCTAAACCCTAAGCCCGAAAAGCACGACCTTCGTGCCCAAAGTCCCCCCAGAAGCCCCATACAGGGCTAGAGATTGGACTTCACCCCCTGAGACGTTGCTGGACTCTGGGACCTCCCTGGCACCTACCTGCGACCCCTCTAGAGCTTCTGCGCCATGTTACAGCAACCCCTAAACCCTACACCCTAAACTTTACACCCCTAGCCCCTGCCAGTCTTGGCCTGGAGTGCCTAAACCCCAAACCCTATCACATTCTGAACCTGGTTTGGGCTTCAGGCTGTAATGCTGTTTGCAGAGTCCATCCGAAGGCAATTCTCTCATTCCTGGTCGACATGTCCCAAGTGAGAGGATGTTGGAGAATGCTCGCGGGGTCAAGCCGGTAAAGGCGGGGATTGCGCAGGATGCCCAACATTTTCCTCCCATGTTCTTAGAAACTGCTTATGGGTCCCTTCTCATGCAAGTACCAGTACTAAGATTTCGAGAATGGTGCCCCAACACGGTCTGGATACAGGGCTTTTGTTGGCAGTTTCCGGATTGCTATACCATGAATCCGATGACTTGCACAGTCTTGGCGCTCAAGAATTTCGAGGCCCGAAACCCAACAAAGCCCCAGAAAGCCTACGAAATTCCGGGCTGAAACCACAATCATTACGCACATGGTCACCCTTTCGTTTCACACTGCTTGCCCCGCGAAAAGAGCCCGTGGACCAGCAGCTGTGATTCCTGAGAGGGCCCTAAACCCTAAGCCCCAAAACCTTTTGGCTTGGGATTTCGAAGTGTTCGTGCAGGGGGCTGGGACCTTCGGACCTTTGTTCGCTAGGTTGCCGCCCGAGGAACAAACCCTAAACCCTAAACCCTAAACTCTGAAACGCAAAGCGCCGGGAGACCTGACAAGCCCTGCAAGCACCCCAAAGCCACCGTTTGGGCTGTGGGTTCCAATTAAGGCTTCAGGTCTTTGGGCGTTGGGCTTTGGGTTTAGGGTCTAGGATGTAGGGTTTAGGATTTCGGGTTTAGGATTTAGGGGCCCCTAAACCCTAAACCCTAAACCCTGAACCCTGAACCCTGAACCCTGAACCCTGAACCCTAAACCCTAAACCCTAAACCCTAAACCCGACTCCCGAAACCCGAAACCCGAAACCCGAAACCCGAAACCCGAAACCCGAAACCCGAAACCCGAAACCCGAAACCCTAAACCCTAAACCCTAAACCCTAAACCCTAAACTGTGGCGTGGCGAACGGCTCTGAACCTTTAACGACTCAAACCTGGCAAGACAAGCGCCAGCTCCGCGAAAGGACTAGGATTTAAGGTTTAGGGTTTAGGGTGTTTTGGGTGGGTTTGGGGTTTTAGGGGCTTCTAGGGGATGCGAGGGGTGTGCGTTCGGGGTAACGTAAGGCTTTAGGGAAAGGGTCCAGGGCTCGGGGTTTAGGGTTTAAGGTTTCTAGGCTGCTGCCAAGCATCTCACTGATCGTTGCCCTTCTGCTGCTTGGATCGACGGGCGCGAGCGTGCCTGCAGCCCAAAATTTGAGGCTTTGGAACGACCAGTAGATTCAAAATGCGGAAAAGTAGCCGCTCTAAACCTAAACCCTAACTCCACTTCCTAACCCAGAGATTTTTCCCAAATTATGGTCCCTTTTGGGGTTCCTATTGCAACACTACTCCCTAAACCCTAGACTCCCTCAGTTCCCTGAGAATCCGAAATTCCCCAAACCCCAAACCCCAAACCCCAAACCCCAAACCCTAAACCCTGAAGGCGGACTCCCCTAAGTTTCCCTAAGTAAACCCTAAACCCTAAACCCTAAACCCTAGACCCTAGACCCTAGACCCTAGACCCTAAACCCTAAACCCTAAACCCTAAACCCTAAACCCCCAAACCCTAACTTCCGCCAAAGCCCCGAGGCTGGTCAACTGGGGGGCCCCGACTGGCGGCCACGGTTCTGGCGGCTTGGGTTCGACCCGGGGGCCGCCACCTCAGGGTTTAGGGTTCAGGGTTCAGGGTTTAGGTTTTAGGGCTATAGGGTTGAGGGTTTAGGGAGGGTTTTAGGGCTCAGGGCTTAGGGTGTTGTAGGGGTTTTAGGACTTGAGGACTGAGGGTTGAGGCCACGGGACTCAGGCAAGGGGTGTGACTTGGCACCAGGCACAAGGCCAAAAACATGCTGTTTGCGATGCTTGGGACCCCGCTTTAGATTTGCATTTGCGGGCCCTGGGATGCCAACGGTCACCGTTCGCCCTTTGAAACATGCGCGGCAAGCGCGTCCGGCACCAAGAGGGTCATCGAATTCGAGGGCCCGCGCGTGTGCGGGCGCCGTTGCAGCCGGATCTAGTTCTCACTTCTCACTACCCCCATCCCATCGCAAGCAGTGTCTGGGGAATGAAAGTATATTCCATCAAGTTTGGCACCTAAACTATAAAATAGAAAAGGAATACAGGACGAAATGCAAGTGCATAGGGGCCCGGCCGGCTTCTTCCACTTGCAAAGGTGGCAGTGATCCTCAGGTTACGAGATCTGAAAGCTGAGTGACTGTATCAAAAAACATGCTGCCACAAGTAATGGGGCTGCTACTACGATTACTACTGCTACTGCTACTGCTACTGCTACTGCTACTGCTGCTTCTACTGCTACTACTACTGTTACTACTGCTGCTACTGCTACTGCTACTGGTACTTCTACTGCTACTGCTACTGCTACTGCTACTGCTACTACTACTACTACTACTACTACTACTACTACTACTACTACTACTACTACTACTACTACTACTACTACTACTACTACTACTACTACTACTACTACTACTACTACTACTACTACTACTACTACTAGTACTACTACTACTACTACTACTACTACTACTACTACTACTACTACTACTACTACTACTACTACTACTACTACTACTACTACTACTACTACTACTACTACTACTACTACTACTACTACTACTACTACTACTACTACTGTTGTGGTACCCCAGGAGGCCCACAACCAACTCCGGGAAGATCTCATCTCTTTGGGCACTGAAGTGGTTCTAGGCCGCCGGGGACAGGCCGAGGGTTTGGGAGTTTAAGTCTGTGGCATGCGACCATGGGGGGTTTGTTCGGCGCTTGGGATTCCCGATCTGATTCCCTTGACAGGCTTGGACCATGCAATATGGCAGGCCAAGGACGAGACTGTCCCTCACAAAACGACGAGTTTTGAGTTTTAACGGACAGGGTGGAGATCATCGAAGTGGTTGCGAGCACCGCTACCCTTACCTTTGTGATCTTTACCGCAGTACTTCTTAGTGCTTCTTAACTTTCCCCGGCCTCACCGGCACGCTCCCGAGCTCTTCGAGCGAGCTTAGGGCTCGAGGCTTGGCTAAGGTTGAGGACTTGGCGCTGTGTGGACTTCTTTGTGCTTTAAGAGCTTTGCAGTGCAGGGCTTCGGGGCTTAGGGGGCCTTGGTCTTGGTAGCTCAGGAACCATCTCATAATAAGGGTACCCTCTTTTGGGGGTTGGTTACATGATAAGGGAACCTTGAACCAAAAGAAAGGAAAAGGGTACCCTAAACCCTAAACCCTAAACTCTAAACTCTAAACCTAAGAATTAGTAGGAAACCTTAGCCCTTGACACTCTGCTGCCGAGGTGCGCAGTTTGCACCGTCCTTGCAACCTTTTCCTGCAGCTGGGCATCGGGTTCGCTGGACTCCGGAAACCCATTTAGGGTTTAGGGTTTAGGGTTGAGGGTTGAGGGTTCAGGGTTGAGGGTTGAGGGCTGAGGGTTTAGGGCCTAAACCCCCCAAACCGCTTGGACTCGTATGGTCAGTTCTCCCAAACATGCCCCCTGTTAGGGTCCGATAAGCCGGCCCCTTAAAATTGCACCCAAGAAGGGGACCCTACTTTAGAGAACTGACCATCTGCGCGTCAAGAGCTTTCAGTGTTGGCCGTGCTTGTTGGTTTGTTCTTTTGGTGGTCGCCGGGGTTCCTACCGTTGCGTCAACTTGCCGTTCCTATTCGTACACTTTTCCAAGTGCGGGCTGCTCACTTGCTCCCCTACACCCTAAAACCCCGAACCCAAACCCCCCGACCCCCCCTCCCAAAAATGAACACAAATCTCCAAAAGACTCTGAATCCCCTCGCCTCACAAGATGGGGCACCTGACAACTTTAAACCACACGAACCTCCGTCCCGACACCCCAAACCACCAAATCCAAACCTGCAGAAGCCCCAGCCCGAGCCCCAACTTCTCCCCCAACAAAACACTAAGTGGGGGGTGGGGGCGGGGTGCAAAATTCTTATCTTTTTTGTGGGGTCGCCTATCGCGTGGGGTACTTGGGCTGTCACGAAAGCGAGCATGATGCGCATCAGCGGCCTGCGTGCAAGTGAAGCCACCCCACAATCGCGAGCATCACGAGCATCAGCAGCCCTCGTGCACATGAAGCAACACCGCGAGAGCGAGCATCATGAGTATCAGCTGCCTTGAGCCCCGCCACGAAAGCCAGCATCATGCGCATCAGCAGCCCTCGCGTGCACGTGACGCAACACCGCGAGAGCGAGCATCATGAGCATCAGCTGCTTTGGGCCCGCCACGAAAGCGAGCATCATGAGCATCAGCACACGTGAAGCAACACCGCGAGAGCGAGCATCATGAGCATCAGCTGCCTTGATCCCGCCACGAAAGCGAGCATCATGCGCATCAGTGGCCTTCGTGCCAGTGAAGCCACCCCACGAGAGCGAGCATCAGCTGCCTTGAGCCCCGTCAGGAAAGCCAGCATCATGCGCATCAGCAGCCCTCGTGCACGTGAACCCACACCGGACAGACTGCTTCAGCACAACTCGCCACTCGCCCCCTCCCCACCCTACAGTCCACACTACATAGGGTTTACGGTTTGGGCTACTACAAACCCCCGACAACCCCCTAAACAAACCCCAGGTTACCCTAAACCCTAAACCCTAAAGCCCCCAAACCCCAAACCGCCAGATCTCCCCTCCGATGAGGCGCCTTTGGAAGCGTACTTACAGGCAGGCCCGCAGCTGAACGGATGGCCTGCGACGGTCTTTTGTTTTTTTTTCAAGGGTTTAGGGTTTAGGGTTTAGGGTTTAGGGTTTAGGGTTTAGGGTTTAGGGTTTACGGTTGCCCTAAACCTTGCGATGTGCAACCCCTTATACGAAGAGTCCTTGATAGGGACTCTAGGTGCCCCCTACTAGAATCCCTTTTCACGACTGTTTGTGTATGGGGGACAAGTTGCCAGCCCTGAAGCCTAGACCCGGTTTGGGGTCGAGGGTCTCATAAAGCACAAATACTCTTCCTTAAACCCTAAACCCTAAACCCTAAACCCTAAACCCTAAACCCGTGCCGTTTCCACTTCTGAGTGTTGTTCATCGTTTTTTTCGAATGCCTGTGCCTCCCAGGTCCCACGGATTGCCCTGAAAAAATAGGGCTCGTGCCACCCAGACAGCTGAACCCTAAACCATAGTCTCGCGGCCCTTGCAGAAGAACCACCCCTCTTTTTCGGCTTCAGGTGAGGTAACTGAGCCTCTCGACCCACAACTTGGCCAAACGCTTTGCATGGGGGTGGAGGGGGGATTCTCTAAAAATAAGACCCTCTTTGGGGTACCCTACATAGAATAATGAGCCAACCGAAGACCCTGCAATTTTTGAACCTGTACTGCGGCGATCTCGGGACAGTCTTAGGCTTTCAGGGGTTTAGGGGGGTTCAGGGGCGAGAGAGAGAGAGAGAGTTTAGGGTTTGGGGGTTTCGGGGTTTCACTCAAGCCCCTAGCACCCACGCCTTCCGAAGCGGTTTAGGGTTTAGGGTTTAGGGTTTAGGGTTTAGGGTTTAGGGTTTAGGGTTTAGGGTTTAGGGTTTAGGGTTTAGGGTTTAGGGTTTAGGGTTTAGGGTGCAGCCCGAAGCCCCAAAAAACCGCAGCCTTCCGAGCCGATGGAGATGCACAGCGGGTGCTGCATCGTCTTGGCACCGGCCTCGGGAGACAAGGCAGGCTTCAGGGTTCCTCGAAACAGTGGCCATGGTGGTACCCTAAACCCTAAACCCTAAACCCTAAACCCTAAACCCTAAACCCTAAACCCTAAACCCTAAACCCTAAACCGCAAAGTTCGGGATCTCCAGGTTTCAGGGCCCCTTTAGAGAGTCATTGCAGGGTCTTAAGTATGACATTTACTTTGTATTTACGGGGCTGGCAGGGCCATGCGGGGCTCCTTCAGACAGTTGCTATAAGCTTTTATCGGGGTCTGACTTACGGTTTAAGGCCCTTGGAGTTTCGGGTTTAGGGTTCAAGGGGTTCTCAGGAAATTTCAGGGCTCCTGTAAGCCCAATAGGTGCACGGATTTGAGGGACACCGAAAACCACCCCCAAACTAAACGCCCATTGCTTTTTGCGGATGAAAATTGTGCGGCGCTGCCGTCCCTACCACCAACCAACAAACCACAATCCCCTGACCCCTAACCCCTAAACCCTAAACCCGAAACCTAAACTCAAATGCGGGGGGCGAAAGCTGCAATGTTTTGGGTCTCAAGGGCTTGTGGCCCGGGGGGCGAGTGATAACGGCAGCAGCCCGCACGAACATCCAAGGTGCAGACTTCCGCACAGTTGGTTTAGGGCTTAGGGTTCAGGGTTCGGGGGGTATGGTCTGACACCTCAAAGCCGAGCCCGAACCCTAGACCAAACAGAATTTAACTTTGCTTAGGTTGTTTATGACCGGTTCTTGTAGACATCATGCTCTCAAGGGCCCACGATGCCTGCAGGCAGGAGCCTTGAGAGTATGGATCGCCCTCCCTGGACGGGTACGCGTGCGTGGTGCAGGTCAATGCGAGAAGCACCTCGTCTTCCTTTTGCCCGGCTGACGGCCCAGGCGACCGTAGGGAGTTCGAAGGCATGCAGCCGTGTTTGCTTTGCGCACTTCGTCAAGGTTACTGATACTGTGCGATGTGAGGAGAACGCTCGTGTACCAGCTGAGCATTGACTGTGGATCCCAGCTAAATGGCAACCAAGGGCAACCATGGAGTTCACGGCTTTGTGGGAGCCACTCTCCACTGAGCTGCGCGACTCCGCTTGATTGGAGGTCGACGTGAGCATGTGCAGATAGCAAAGTGACTGCCGTTACACTAGGGTCTTGACTTTCGCGGCTATTCATGGAGCCACTCCTTCGCTCGTGGTGTGTCAGTGTCCGCACGAGCCTTCATTCCGTTGAGCGCATACCGCAAGATTTCTGCTCCACGGGATGTCAGGTTTGCTTCGAGTGGTGGGAGACCCAGTGGCAAACCTTCGATGCTGCAGAATGCCCGTGGAGGGCCGCAGCTCCACAAGGGCGGCCGCCACGTTTCTTCGGCGGCAAGGTAGCTTGATGCTCACAAGACTGTTGCCGTAAAGGGGCCCTAAACCCAAAAGCCGACACTCTCAGGACCTCAGGCCTTCTGGCTCGCAAGTCCAAACCAGATACCCTAGGTATGAACTGAGGGTTTACTTCTAGGTGCCTTATCTGTAACAAAACAGACCTCAACAAAGTGAAACCAGCCCTCAATCCGAACACACCCAAAAACACGACTCCAACTCGCAACAGCCCCCGAGTCTCGGCTCACTGCTGGCATGTCGTCCTCCGCGTCGCTCGCATCCTCCATGTCCTAGGAAAGCCCAGGGAGAAACGTAGGAAGCGTGGCGGCCCCGAAAGGTCCGGGTGGCCCCCCTCCCCCCAGAGAGGGTTTCGGCTTTTTGGGGCACGTGGAATTTAAGGTTCCGTGAGGTCTAGGTCTAGGATTGTGTATACACTCTTTTCACTCTGAGTTGTAGAGGGGGGGGGGGGTGGGGAGTGGGGGGCTTCAGGGTTGAAGTTGAGGCAGACAGCGTTTCAGGGTTGCAGGGCCCAGTAGAAGAGCAAGTCCTAAACTGAAGCCGGACTAACCTGAAGCAGCCTTTTTAGGGCTTCTCCTGCCACAGCCAGCTCCCTCTTACATGGGCTTTCCAACATTACATGGACAACTTCGACCACCAAACCCCGAGCTAGAGCCCCTGAACTCTACAGCCACGGCGCACATGCGCACGAGCTCGCACGCACATGCACGACCCTAAACCCTAAACCCTAAACCCTAGACCCTAAACCCTAAACCCTAAGCCCTAAGCCCTAAGCCCTAAGCCCTAAGCCCTAAACCCTATTAACCCTACTAACCCTATAAACCCTATTAACCCTGTTAACCCTATAAACTCTATAAACTCTATAAACCCTATAAACCCTACTAACCCTATTAACCCTAAAAACCCTATAAACTCTATAAACCCTATTAACCCTATTAACCCTATTAACCCTAAGAACCCTATTAGCCCTGGTTCAAGCCAGAGGGCTGCCCAAAGATCCTTGCGAGGCTGCGGTCGGAGGAACTGTTGCAGGAAGTCCTGGATTCAGAGCGCCAGGGGGCTCCAGCTCTGTTTTTGTCTCCATTTATGTATTATCTCTTTTTTTTGGGGGGGGGGGGGGGGGGGGGGGGATATTGTTGTGTGATTCATGTTGATTTTCTATTGTCTGTTGTGTTTTGGGGGGGGGGGGGGGGGGGGGGTTTAAGGCTTCGGGATGTAGAGGGTTCTATGGAGGAACCCCTAACAACCGCCCCGGAAGCCCCCCCGCCCTCCTGCCACCCAACACACCGAATATGCTAACCGCGAAACCCACCCCAAACTCACCCCCCCCCCCCCCCCCGACCCCCTCCCCGCCCCCCCACCTCTCCAAAAAGAAAGGGGCTCAACCCCTAAACCCCTAAACCCTTGAACCCTTAATAGCCTAAACCCTTCAACCCCTAAACCCCTAAACCCTAACCCCTTAACCCCTTAACCCTAAACCCCAAACCCTAACCCCTTAACCCTAAACCGAGCAAAACCCAATGCCCGCCACCTCCGGCATGGCCGGCATGGGCAGTGGGGTGGGCTCCGGAGACGGAGTCTGCAGCCTGAATGCTTAAGGGCGGTTTAGGGTTTAGGGTTTAGGGTTTAGGGTTTAGGGTTGTTACATGGCTTTTGTTTGGGGTCTTGGGTCTGCGGGCTGGGAGTGGAGGGATCATAAGGAACTATGATTCGTACTTAATTATTCCGACCCCCTATTGTTATGGTGCTTCGGGTTTCTCATGCCCTTGCAGACAGAGCCCAGGATCCCAAACTCTGCAAGATCCACCCCTGAACCCTGAACCCTAAACCCTAAACCCTGAACCCTAAACCCTGAACCCTGAACCCTGAACCCTAAAACCCTGAACCCCAAGCCTCTGAAGCCGACAAACCCAACCCGCGTGAACCTTGCCTGAAGCTTCGGCAGTTGTAAGAAGTGCGGTTGCAAGTAAGGTACGCCGTGTTACAGCCGAGTTCGGTGACGTAGCATCTATGGCCCTTCAAGTCAATCCTAACCCTAAACACTAAACGCCTAAATGCCGAACCCACCGCCCAAAAAAAACTCAACTTAACACCTAAACGCCCAGCCGCCTGAACCAGGGCTGCTGCGTGGGGCTAGGGCTGCGGTCCTGCATGAACCGGATAGGTAAGAGCTTCGACATTCTGAGGTTTAGGGCTTAGGGTTGGGCGGAGCTCGGGGTCTAGTAGCCTCAGGATCCTAAACCCCATTTCTACGAGTGGGTTTTCCGAACAGCGGGTTCTGGGTTCAGGTAGCTCTAATACTAAACTTCCCGGGTTTGAGGGTTTCGGGTTGAGCCCTTAAACCTGGCACCGGGGACACCGCAGTGCCTCGAGATAGGTTTTGTCCGCGGACTCTTCTTGGGAACCTTTTTCCTTAGGTCTCATTTAGGGTCTAGGGGTTGAGTCACACCAGCCATCTTACAAGGCATCCCTCAGCCCATACACCCCACACCACTAGACCCCGAACCCTAACAAGCCCTCTAGAACAAGTCCCCCCCCCAAAAAAAAACGCTGAGTTTGGGTAGCAAGGTCACCGGGGCGAGGTGGGCGCAACGTGGGCTGCCAGGGTTTTAACGGCTTGTGTGGATTTGAGCGGGGTTTGAGGTAAATTGGCTGCTTCAATCCCAAGCAAAGGGACCCTTGTTCAAAGGAGGCGTGAACGGGAATTGCTTACGACAACACCGGAGCCCTAACATAGACCCCCAAATAATAGGTTTCCCTTACAAAAAAGGACCCCAAATAAGGTACCCCTAACTTCGGACATGTGACTACCCTTCAAAACCCCAACGCCTTCTCCTTCGCTGGAGTGCGGCCGCGCTCCGCGCACACGGGCAGCGGTTCGGAATTGTCCTCGCCAGCTGTCGCTTGCGGACTGAGAGCAGCTGCTTTACTAGTTCATGCTTGGGATAGTATTAAAAAGTTAAGTTTCTATTCCTTATTGAGTTTAAGATGAGTTTAAGTACCCTGAAACATGAACAAAGTCACCCACTATGGCGAAGTTTAGCGGTTGGGATGCTCCCCCTGATACTAACAGTCGTCAATAGGGATTATAGTACCCCCTCACTAGAACCCCTATGAAGCATTGTTAGTACAAAGGGGGAACATCCCAACCTAAACCCCCAAACCCTTCTCAGCTCGAAAAACTCGAAGCCCCAAGCCCTAAGCCCTAAGCCCTAAACCCTAAGCCCTAAGCCCCAATTTTGGGGTTGGAAAGCTGCCCACCCCAAAGCCGCAAAGCCAAGAATAAGATTCGCCTTCGGCCGTGGAAGCCAGCATCCAAAAACAAGACTCCAAACGCCCCTTAACAGGGTTTAGGGTTTAGGGTTTAGGGTTTAGGGTGTAGGGTGTAGGGTGTAGGGTTTAGGCTTCGGGACTAGGGTGTAGGGTTTAGGGCCAAAGGAGGCAGAGAATGTGGAGCCCCGACCTGTGCTCTGAACCCAAAATTTCCCTCGCAATGTCCCCCTGAGCCCACCAGCCTCCTCCATGAACCTCGGGCAGGGCTTCAGGGCTCAGGGCTCAGGGCTGAGGGCTGAGGGTTTAGGGCTTAGGGCTTAGGGCTTAGGGCTTAGGGCTTAGGGTTTAGGGTTTAGGGTTTAGGGGTGCATGGGTTGTGGGCTACGGGGTTATTGGCTTGTGGGGTTTAGGGTTTTTGGGGATCAGGGCTTACAGTGGGTTCTAGGTTTAGGGCTTCTTGGGTTTTTTGGGGTTTCTTAGGGTTTTTGGGGGAGTTGTAGGGTTTAGGGTTTCGGGCTTAGGGTTCCCAAAACCCAAAACCAGGATCGAGGAACTTGGGCGTGGCGGAAGCCTTGCTTTGTTGGAGGATGCCTGCGAGCCACATAACTAGTTCATGGTTGGGATAGTACTAAAAACTATGAAGTTATACTCCTTATTGAGTTTAAGTACCCCTAAGAATCAAAAAATATTACCCCACCATGACAAAGATAAGGGCTGCTGTAGGTTGCCTACGACTCATAAGGGGTTCTGCAATAACAGCCAAGAAGACAATGGACTGTGGGACTTTGGGCTCGTAAGGTAAACTTCCAAACCCTAAACTTTCCACGAACCGAAGGTGTGACCCAGCTAACGTTGCACGCCTGCAAAAGACCGAGGAGCTCGATTTTCCAAATTCAAGCCTTTCCTTGCTAGTTCCCACACGGCTTGCGAGTTTTGGATTAGGGTTTAATTAGTTAGGTCTACAGTGCCCTTGCATAAGGGACATAGAGGGACCCGAATTCCCTGCTAAGAACATGTAAGTGAAGTCCCACAGAAACTGTTCGAAGGGGCAATGTGCCATTCTATGCTTTGAGGTTCCAAGACCGAACCTTTGTGGTTTAGGGTCTAGGGTTTAGAGTGTGGAAATAACAAAACCATTGGCCTGCCGCATTTCTGACATCCTTGGCTTCTGAGGGCTTGCGGTTGGTGCGTGCTGGCCAACTGCAAGGGGTGCCGGGCAGGACACAGACAGGGCCATCCGGCAGCACGATGTCTGAGCACGCATCATGCGCTCGGGGGGGGGGGGATTAGTTGAGCCAGCTTTGCTGCTTGGTCCGTAAGACGCGCACAACGCCCGGACTTGGGACAACTAGTTCAAGCTCATGTGTCTCCCAAGCCCAAAGCAGCAAAACGACAACGACGCCACAAGAGATTCCAAGGCGGCGGCTCTTTGTAGGCAGCGCCTGGGCTGTAGCTCAGGGTTTGGTAGTGGCGGTCTGCCAGGTCTCAGAACCAAACCCAAGAATCCCAAATCCCTAGACAACAACAACCAAACCCCAAGCCCTGCACCGACTCTCTTGACCGACTGAGAGTTTGGAAGTTTGGGTGTTCCCTATACCTTAAACCCATATTCACCCTTATAGAAACAGTCCTTAAAGTACCTCCGTATTATCATCCCTATTAAGGACTGTTAGCATAAGGGGGAACATCCCACCTAAACCTTCTAGGGTTCACGTCGTCACCTCGGGGGGTTGGTGGTGCTCAGGATGTGCGGGTGTGGCTTGGGGCTTTGAGCTTAGGGTTAGGGAGAGATCCATCTAATCGTCTCAATCATATCCTCATATGTGTCTATATATATATATATACATATATAATATATACAGCCTCCCCCCCCCATGCATCAACCATTTTGGTGGGTTACACAAGACAGAATCCCTCGTTCCTCTAAACCCCGCATCACCTCCTCAAAATTTTCTTGGAACAAAAGAAAACATGCACACATGCACTTATCTGTATGTGTGTATGTGTATGTGTATGTGTCTGTGTATGTGTATGTGTATGTGTAATCTGTGTATGTAGGTATGTATGTATATAGGTTTGGGGGGCGCAGATATAATATACACAGATACCCCCCCCCATATATATATATATACACACACTTATTTGTATTATATCTATACACATACATATATACGCATACGTATATGTGCATAATGTATATACAAACCTATACATACATACGTGTATACATATATATATATATATATATACACATGCGTGGGAAGCCCCACTCCCTACACATATATATATATATATGTACACACTCCATGCATATTTTCCCTCCCGCCCTGTCGAAGCTGCGAGGCAATGAAAAGCCAATCCTCTCAGATACATCTTATATATGCATATGCCAAATATGTATATATATATATGTATTTACTTATTTATGTCGATGAAGTTGAGTACACATTGGACATGCCTACAAACTTTACAAGCCCTGCGATCGTCCAAGTTGCACTTCGGCAGTCCCGTGCGCGTGGGCGAAGGGTCCGGTGTACGGTAGCCTGCCCAGTGTAGCTCGGAATGCAAGTTTGGAGCCCATGGGTTAGGGTTTGGGGTTTGGGGTTTGGGGTTTGGGGTTTGGGGTTTAGGGTTTAGGGTTTAGGGTTTAGGGTTTAGGGCTTAGGGACCCTGGCTGCCCTTCGGGTTTGGGTGTAGGGTTTGTCTCGACTTCGGACCAGTTATCACATGTGGAGCTTTCCCTAAACCCTGAACCCCAAACCCAACCCTTTACCCATTGAAAGGGCCCCCGCTCCCAAACTCCCCCCCAACCTCCAACCCAAAGACCCTCAACCCTGTCCAGGGTTTTGGACCCTGAACCCTAAACCCGAAACCCGAAACCCTAAACCCTAAACCCTAAGAGCACAGAAGGTCAAAGTCGCGCCGAGGGGCCACGCTGGAGCGATGGCAGGCCGCGCTCGAGCAGTCCGAACACGAGCTTCATGTTCGGGCCTTGCTCGGGTTAGGGTTTAGGGTTTAGGGTTTGGGGTTTGGGGTTTGGGGTTTGGGGTTTGGGGTTTGGGGTTTGGGGTTTGGGGTTTGGGGTTTGGGGTTTGGGGTTGGGGGTTTGGGGTTTGGGGTTTGGGGTTTGGGGTTTGGGGTTTGGGGTTTGGGGGGGGTTTGGGGTTTGGGGCTTAGGGTTTACGGTTTGAGGAGGGGGGGGGGGGGTCAAATCCTAAGTTTGGGGCTAAGTGTCGCATTCAGGACAAAGGAAGACGCCCACAGCCCCCCAAACACCCCAAGACCTGCCCTTGAGGGTTTAAGGGCTTGGGGGATGGCTGTCTCCTAGCTCCTAACCCCCTGGATAACCCTAAACTAAACCCTATATTGCCCTGAATGCAAAATAGTCCCCTGAATAACCCTATAACAACGTAGATGACATATGGTTTTTATTCCTCGTATCCCGAAACAAGAACGAACAAACACTCACCAACATGTATAAGGAGCCCTTCGTACACTCACCAACAAACAATAACATAAGCCCCGTATCAGATAGCCCTATAAACCCCTAAGTAAGATATCCTCAACACTCTGGATTAAGTCCAAAACAAAATAACCCCACAACCCTGAGTAACCCGAAAAACGAAGATGGGTTTAGGGTTTAGGGTTTAGGATCTAGGGTTTAGGGTTTGGGGTTTGGGGTTTAGGGTTTACGGTTTAGGGCGAACACTGATCGCACCGCCACTGGCCGTGCACCCGGCCCTTGGCGCTGCTGCGTTCAGAAGGCGTTGCGCAGCCGTCCTCGGAAACGGGCTTTGGGGGTTGGTTGGGGGGCTTGTGGGCGGGGGCTTGGGGGGGGGGGCTGGGGGGGGGGGTGGGGGGGGGGTGGGGGGGTTTTCTGGAAGGGTTGTGGGAGGGTTGTGAGGGGTTGTGGGGGCGTTGTGTGGGGTGGGGTTGTGAGGGGGGTTGTGAGGGGGTTGTGGGGGGGTTGGGGGGGGGTTGTGGCGGGGTTGTCTGGGGTTATGGGGGGTTTGGGGGTTGGTTGGGGTTTGGTTGGGGTTTGGTGGGGGGATTTGGGGGTTGGTTAGGCGGTTTGGAGGGTTTTGGGCTTGTTTCGGCGATGTCTTTCATGCACTCACTCACGCCTACGCCCGACTACATATCGGACAAGGCGCTGTGGTGGATTCCCCATCCGGAAACAGATGCCTCGGACATGGGTGTTGCGTCTCACTTTTGCTAAGGCCTCCATTTGGGACGACAAGCTCGGTTACGAATATGGAAGTGTGTGGGAGACATATGCCGTACGCGCGCTGCGATTCGGAGCTGCCCTTGCAGCGGCTTCGGGGTGGTAGCATGCCTTCCTACTGCGCCTTTCAGTGTAAGGCTTCTGGACAAACGGTGCCCCACTTAAACCCTAAAACCCTAAACCCTCAACTCTGAACCCTAAACTTCTAACCCCTAAACCCTTCTTCAGGGAGCTTTGTCTGTGAGCTGCACTGTAGGGGTTCTGGATTTGGGACTATCGGGCCGTTGCCGTCTGCGCCTTCGGGGTGGTAGCATGTTGCGGAACCTGAGCTGTCCTACTTGAAGGCTCATGCTTGCTAGAAGTCTGAATATTGTTCTCTGGACTATTAGGGCTTCTTATCAGTACCAAGTAGACCGGAGCCCCACACTCTAAGCCCTACTTGGGCTTGATAGGCTTTGGGGTTCCCTTGTGAAACCTAACACTGGTCCTCTCAGTCTCCCTAAGTGCCGCCTTCTGCCAAGTTCGGGCATCTTTGATTCCCTGAACGCAACCCAACCCTAAGCAGCGGAGCCTCCAAAGGGGTCACTAACGGACGCTTGAGCAAGCCATTCTGGACTGTTTCAAATTTCGAGGCAACCCGTAAACTCTAAAACCTAAACCCTAAACCCCAAACCAATGGAGCCAGCCCTGGGAATCCGCAGGCCCGAGGCCCCCAAAACCCGAAACCGAGAATGCTACCTCTCTTAGGGTTTTAGGACTTTAGGCATTATTAGGCTTTAGGCCTTTAGGCCTTTAGGGCTTTAGGGCTGTAGGGCTGTAGGGTTCCCAACTCTACGGAGCCAAAAAGCCCATCATCCCCTAGGCCGGTAACTAATGCCCAAGAAGTCCTAAAACTCAAACGACCCTGATTTAGGAGGCTGTGGGGCTTACTTTGAGGGTTGTAAGGGCAGATTTGCTGCTTAAGGGCCCCTAAACTCCCTAAACCCCCCTGAAACCCGCTAAACCCCGCTAAACCCCCTAAACCCCCTAAGCCCCTTAAACCGCCTAAACCCCCTAAACTCCCCCTAAACCCCCTAAACCCTAAACCCGGGCTGGGACACCAGGAGAACAGCTCTCAGGATATTGTTCTGAACCTTTGAGGGTAGTAAGGATTGATTTAGAGTTTAAGGGCCCCTAACCCCTAAGACCCTAACCAGGAGAAGAGCTCTCAGGGCTGCGCGTCAGGTGTAGGCCCTCAGGCGTGGCCTCTCGCGAGAAAGATCCGCACTCCATCGTTGCCTGAGGTGGCTCTGGAGGGCTGATAAGCTCCCCTGGTAGGCCAGCAACCATATTCCCAAACCCTAAACCCTAAACCCTAAACCCTAAACCCTAAACCCTAAACCCTAAACCCTAAACGCTGCTTGTGGTTGGCTACTGTGTAAGGGAGAACCTAAAAACAAAAGATCTCAGGGTTAGGGCTCATATACTCCCTAAACCCCAAAAGCATAAACCATCAACCCTTTAAGGTTCTTCAGGGCTTATCAACTCCCGAACCCTAAGCCCCAAACCCTTAACCCCATAAGCCATAAACCCTAACCCAAACCCTGCAAACCCTAAACCCCAAACCCTGGACCCATCGCTTCCAAGCTTCCAGCGAACAGGATTTAGGGTTTAGGGTTTAGGGGAAGAAGAGTCCTTGTGCCATGTGCTCATGGGCTTTGTGCTGCGGCTATAAATCCCTAAGCCCTGAACTGCATTTAGGGCTTCGGAGCGCGCCAAACTTACAGAGTTCTTCAGGGAGGGGGTTCAAGGGGGGTAGGTACCTTGGGAACCTTAGGGAAGCTTAGGGAGTAGTGGGGAGGGAGCCTTGGGAAGTGTTAGGAAACCTTGGGTTCCATACCCCTAAACCCTAAGCCCTAAACCCTAAACCCTAAACCCTAAACCCTAACCGCCCTCCCTTCAGAACCTAAGAACAATCCTGCCAGACGAGACTCTGCCATGGGTGCCGCAGGAAGATCGCGAAATCTTGGAATGTCCTGCAGGGACGGTCTAGGGTGTAGTGTGGAGGCTAAGGCTCTAGCAAGAAGGTTTCAAGTAGAGAGGGGTCTGTTTGAGGGCCCACGTTTTGCTGTGAGATGATTGGCTGTAACATTCCGTCCGGGGTGTCCCAGTAGCTGTCTTCATGACCATGTCGTCCGGGCTGTCCGAGTAGCTGAATTCATTGTCATCTGTTCTACGTGTCGCACTAGCAGTGGTTGATGACACGTCCGTCCGGGTGTCCTAGCAGGAACAGTCAAATACATTTACTTGCCCAGAAAATTAGGTTTAATGAAGATCCACATATCTTGATGGGTCACATCACAAACTCACTACAGTAGCACTGACGATCCAAATTTCGCCGAAATTGACAATGTACACAGTATCTGAAAACATTTTACTGACGAACAGGATGGTACATGCAGGACAGGGACTGGGAGAGCAATGTAGCCCCAAGTAATACCTTTTCCTGCCGAGCTGCTGCAATGCTTGTATTGAAAGTTAAACTCTACCACCTACACCTTTCCGCAACACTGGCTTTCTGCTTACAATTTAAGCAAGCCAAGCTCTGAGGACATGCGGGCTGAGTACCGCAGCTCATTCTGCTTATGGAGGGGGGGGGGGGGGGGGGGGGGGGGGGGGGGGGGGGTCTTGGGCCACGGGTCTTGTGCAAGTTCGCATATTGGGCCCCCGCCCCCTCCTAAGAACCCCTTGCTGGAATGCTTATAACAACACCCTTCCGGAATGAAAACGAAGAAACACCAACCGTTGCTAACCAGATCATATCAGCACACGGAATTTACCGGACATGGTTGCTCATAGCTCATAGGTAGGTACGGGTTGTCATGTGCCCCCTTATACTCACAGCCCTGAATAGGATTATAGTACCCCCACATTCTAATCCCTATTAAGGGCTGCTCAGGTGCGGGAGTCATGAAGAACCGCTTTGGGCTTCCTATAGGTCAGGGTCCCGAACCACAGGTTGAGAGATCGGGGACCCGGACCCTTCATTGGGATGTTACCTGGGACCCCTCAGGTTGCACCCTTGGGTTTGGGGACCCTTCTTGATTCTGATGGTAATACCAGGGCCATACTAGGAGTATCTTAGTAAGGGAAACCTTAAGCAATGTTAGGGGTGCGAGTCTTGATCCCTGGAACCCTTGAACCCCTAAGCCCCTAAACCCTCAATCCCGAAACCACAACCCTAGCCCGCCAAGACCGCTTGCTGGCGGGCCAAACGATTACAAGAGACCCCCTAAACCCTAAACCCTAAACCCTAAACCCTAATTCCTGAATTCCTGCAAACCCTGAACCGATGGGTGGCTATGCTGCCCGCAGCCCTCCAGGGCGGGGGAGGGGAAGGGGCTCCAGGGTTTTAGGCAGCCGACAGGCCCTTCAAGAAACTTCAGAACTTGGTTTTAGGTTTAGTCAACTCTGCCTGATTGCTCACACAATCTCACGCACATACATGAAGAGCTTCTGCGTCAGAGCAAAACTGCACCCGAAACCCGAAACCCGAAACCCTAAACCCGAAACCCTAAACCCTAAACCCTTTGAAGCCATGTAATCTGAGCAACCGGGCAGCTGACTCGGTCGTCAATGGAGACAGCTGTGGGCCAAAGGGTCGGCGGCAAAGGTACACATCAATGGCCCAAGCCCCGCAGATCCTCGAACTCAAGCCCCTAAACCCTCAACCCTAGACCCGAAACCCTAAACCCTAAACCCCAGAAATCCCATCCTAAACCCGGAAAGAAGTCCTGCACAATGGCAGCTTAGACCCTGAAAACCCTCACCCCCCTTAGCCCCGAAAGTGGAGAGGGTTTTGGGGGGGATGCTTGTGTTTCGGTATTGCGTGTTTTGCGGCTTTTTCGGGTTTACGCGGCTACCTGCTTCCGGGCCTTCAGGAAGTTACCTGCTTCCGGGCCTTCAGGAAGTTGCGAGTGTCACCCCTGGAGGCACTTTGGAACAGCACCACCCTCCTCATCACAGATGTCTTCGACGATCCTCACCCTAAAGAATTTGAAGAGCACGGTAGGTATACTTTGGGATACCGGATATCTGGGGCTGAGCACTTCACAAAACCTTACTCTGCAGAAATTTCTGGGGGGAACGCTGTGACTCTCAGGGTAGATTCTGGGAGACGCGGGCGAGTAGAAAAACCGGAGCCCGCACTGAGGGGTGGGGAATAGACTTTTTGGCCAAACCCTAAACCCTAAACCCTAAACCCTAAACCCTAAACCCTAAACCCTGAACCCTGAACCCTGAACCCTAAACCCTGCAACGCTGCATACACTAGGTTGATCGAGGCATCCTAGGTCATAGGGTCCAAGGATTGGGGTTTAGGGCTTCGGGCTTAGGGTGTTGATTTCGGGTGTTGATTTAAGGTTTAGGGTTTAGGGTTTAGGGTTTAGGGTTTAGGGTTTCAGTTTTCAAGACGACCGCCCCAGGTGCTCAACAGCTGAATCAGGCATTCCGAAGCCCTCGACACAAGACCGGAGGAGGCAGAACCAAAACGGACCATGATACAGCACCTTTGAGGTTTAGGGTTTAGGGTCTACTTGGAGTTTCATGGGTAGTTCGAGGTGGGGTCATAAGTAGGGGAACTGTACTTCCAGCCGGTTCTAACCTTATTTTGGGTACCTATAACCATACTTCTAACTGAACCTTCAAGTAGGGATTGAGGATCCAGGGTTCAAGGTTCTCTCCTCTTTTGGCCGCCTGCAGGGTGACCCTCCTAAGGAGGAAATGCCGCGGGCTGACACGGTGCCCCAATGCAGGACACGTGGGGGTTGTTCGATAAGTCAGGGTCTCCATGCAGAGTCTCCAGGGTTTAGGGTTTGTAGCTTAGTGTCTGGTTTAGGGTTTAGGGTCTAAGCTCGAAACCCCCAACAAAGAGACCCTTCATTTCGAATCAACCCCCCTACGCACACCTGGGCCTGAAACACTCTGGTATAGGGCTTAGGGCTCAGGGCTCTCACAAGACTCTCAAGCTCGTAGCATTAAAGCCCCACCCTACCTTCACGTATTAAATAGTGACTACTTCCTGTTAGGGAGTAGGGGCTACCTTAGGCGGTTTAACTGTTCGAGGGAGGGGGTTAGAACCCTCAAGCAAAAAAACCCTTGCCACATGATCCGCGAGAACCCCAATGACGCAGACAGTGTCCCAAGAGCCCACCCAGAACAAACCTTTAAGATTTCGGCTTTAGGGTTCAGCTTACCCTGGAAAAAAGCCCAATCAGATGGGAAATATGGCCTCCGGCTCATGCATCCCGCCGCGCAGCTCATCATTCACAGGGGACGTCATCTTCTGGACCTTACTTGATGGTAGGGTTTAGGGTTTGGGGTTTGGGGTTTGGGGTTTGGGGTTTGGGGTTTGGGGTTTGGGGTTTGGGGTTTGGGGTTTGGGGTTTGGGGTTTAGGGTTCATGGTACTTCATAACCCAAGCATAACCATATAAGGGCACTTCAGGGGCTTAACAGTGGGTTAGAACAGCAGTTCTTATTGGGTTAGAAGTACCATGAACCTCCTGAGCTTTTCCAAAGGATGAAAAATGGCGAACCTCAAAAGCTTGAGGCAAGATGCTATGGTACCCATAAAGATTCTCAAACGTAGCTGCCTACCCATCAGCATCAAGATAGAGCCCAAGCCCTAACCCTAAGGGCACCCCCCCCCCCACCCACCCCACCCCACCCCAACCAAAAGAAACAAAATCACATCCTGTCCAGCACCCAAGGGACTAGTGACTGGCACTTTCCAGTCTCAGCCTCAAAAGCCGAAAGGATGTGCTCCGGGGCGGAGCTCTCGCGCGCGAAGTCGGCGGCGCTCCTCCCCCTGGAGTTCCGCACGTCCAGGCGCGCCCCGTTTGCGATCAGGACGGCAGCCACATCCCAGTTGCCGCAGATGATGTGAATCATCAGCGGCGTTCCGCCGTGGTGATGGTATGCCCACGTGCGAAAACGTGTCTTTGAGCTGTCTGTTCTGTAGAGCATGCTGTAAGTTGCCAGAAACATCCCTGGCAAGCTCAGGACAGGTGGAGCGTATCTTTCATTCACGTCAGCCCTGGCATCAATGAGTCTTTGGACTATCTTTGCATGGCGAATAGTGCAGTCGACCAGCGACGGAATCGTCACATCTGGTACCTGCTTGAGCATCTCTTCTACAGTGTCCATGGAACTGCCTGCACAGCAGGAGTTCAGTGGCCCTTGTCTCGCTAGGGTGGCGCACATATACGGGTCCGCTCGGAATTGCAGTAGCATCCGAACTCCTACCACATCGTTCGACATGCCGGCCATGCCCAGTGGAGCTTTGTACACCGCCTTCGTGACTCCTGCGTTGACGTCGGCCCTGTAAGAAACCAGTATCTTCATTGCTTCATGGTGCCTAAGTTGCTGTGGAGTATGCCGCTCGAACATCCCAAGCCCTAAAGCCCTGAGGCTTAAGATACACTGTCCATGATAAGACTGGGTCATGCTGAAATAACAAAATATTCATACTTGTCAGATTTATTTGAGATCCAGTCCCGAGCCAGATCCGCATCATTTTCTGACGAGGGGCTTGTAGCGTGCGCAAAGGCTCAGTGAGGGAAAGCCGTCGGGCAGCTGGATGAGGGGAACAGATTTCCTGGCCCGGAACCCTAAACCCTAAACCCCTCCGAAACCCCTACCCTCAACTAAGGAGGATGCCCTAAACTACGGATTGAAGTTTCGAATCTTACTTAAGGCATCTTCCTTAATGACGGGGAGGGTCCAAGGCCCCGTGCCCCAACTCCGGGTTTAGGGTTTAGGGTTTGGGGTTTGGGGTTTGGGGTTTGGGGTTTGGGGTTTGGGGTTTGGGTTTAGGGTTTAGGGTTTAGGGTTTAGGTAAAAATGCCGAACCTTCAAGCTGCGATGCAGAGCGGGGGCTTTGGGGGGGAGATCGACACTCCACCCTCGCGCACCCAAAAAACCGCGACCCCCAAGTTGCTTCCCAAGCTACCTCTCTAGGAACCTAGACAGCCCCAAACCCTAAACCCTAAACCCTAAACCCCAAACCCCAAACCCTAAACGCACCTTTGAAGGTTAACAATTTGCCCCCCAAGCATCGTGATCTTGTCGAGAGGGCTGGCCCTCTTCTGGAGCAAGGCGCGGAGCGGGCCTTCCTCGCCCCTCCTAGGCTGCCATTCTGGGCTAAACCCTAAACCCTAAACCCTAAACTCTATAAACCCTAAACCCTAATCCTGAAGCCCAAAAGGCCTTAGAGGGCTTGGAGCGGGTAGAGTGAGGTTTGGCTGGGCTTGGGTGCCACAGCACCTTGGGTTTTGGGAGTAGAACCCCGTCAGGGTCCGAAGCCCCCCCAAAGCCCGAATCAGTTGTGCTAATCCCCTCCCCCTAATATTAAAGCCCCCCCGGCCCCCTAATACTACATACCCCCATTATGGTCATATTACAGTATATGGCAGGGGGGAGGGTAGGGCATTTAATATTAGGATATTGGGAGGAAGGGGGGGTTTAATAATAACAGGGGGAGGGGATGAAAAGCACCCGAGGGTCAGAGCCGCATAGCACAGCGGCGTAAAGCCCAGGCTATCACGCTCGAGGAGTTTCCTGAAGCCGTTCTGGCGCAGAAAGGCCTCCGCGCTGTCGGGCTGTGCGGCTGCACTGGGGTGGAAGCCTGGCAACGGATCGCCCAAAGACTCCGTTGGAAGCCCTCGCATTAGGGCAGCCTCTCTGTTGAGCAGCAGACGGAACTTCGCGATGTCACCTTTTTGCAGGTAGACGCGGAGCTTGTGCTTGAAGACTTGGTGGAGCACGTGAGCAATCTTGGCACGGTCCTCGTCGACCGTGAACGCGCCCTCGCCGGGGGAGTTCATCAAGCTGAGAAACCGTGCAACCTGAACGTGCTTTGCGTCCGTCACCAGCAGCCAAGGGGAATCTTCCCTGTCCGCGAGTTCCCTCACTGTGTGCTCTAGGATACACCAACCACGCTTTGCCCAAGTGAAGTAGTCGAACACGTTTGAAGGAGTCTCGACCGTTGGGCACAAGGCGATGAAAAGCTCGCACCTTTCGACATACCTGAGGCATGCTCGCGGATGAAGCCTAAAGCCCAAAGCCTCTGTCAGTCATGCAAAAAGCTGCTGTTATTAAGATATTATTCCTGCTACTCTTACTACAGTTGCTACTCTACTCTACTGAGAGTTATTGCTTCTATTGCTGTTGCTATAAACACCATCCCCGAGCTGTGTGTGGGGCCACCGCGGGTGGTGGGCTCAGGGGCGCCGTCGCACGGATTGGCCGTGTGTGACTACTGGTGCGCCAGAGGCGGACCAACCCACACTAGTGCTTGTGAGCACTTGCCCTTGCGCTTTTCACGACGCGGCGGGGGTGCTGCTGGCTACTTGGGTGCCCGCGGGGCCTGGTGCTGCTCGCAGGGCGGTCTTTCTGTTGGTATAATTGATACCATTTGCCCCCCGTACTTCTCGGCAAGCCTGTGTTGCCGCATGTTACCGCCAGATTGAGCTTATGGCTGGCCCGGGTGCTGGCGCTGTAGGGATGCCAGTCAAGGACGCTCGCTCCCTCCCTTCCCCCCCCCCCCCCCCCCCCTTTCCTCCCTTTTTTTGCCGGGCAATGACGGTTACGGAGCCCGGGGCGCCGGGCCAGTGTGAACTCCCAGTGGAGGGTGCGATGACGGTTACGGGAGGGACAGCGCCTTCGGCAAGGTAAAGGGCCGCTCCTCACGCACTCACTCACCCACTCGCTATAAACATCATACTTACTACAAGTACTTCTTAATTACTATAACGACGATAAGTACGCAACCATGCGCAACCCTAAGCCCTAAACCCTAAATTTAAACGCTAAACCCTAAACCCTCAGCGGCCCAGATACCCTGCAATGCTCCGAATGGCCTTCTGAAGGTTTGTCTCCTGGCCAGGCACAGCTGGTGCCCTCTCCAGTTGTGGACAGGAAAAGTAATCATACCTGGGCTGTGCGGGCTTCCCTAAATCCCTAAACCCTCAACTGTGGGGATGACATTTTTTTTTGGGGGGGGGGGGGGGGGCTTTGGGCTTTAAGGGTTCAGGGGTCACTGGGGGGCAAAGGGAAGCTTAGCAGCGAGAGCTTCAGCCTCTGCGAGCGCAACCCTAACCCTAAACCCTAAACCCTAAGCCCTAAACCCTAAACCCTAAACCCTACACACCCTACACACCCTACACACCCTAAACACCCTAAACACCCTAAACACCCTAAACCCTAAACCGGGGTGCCACACGTGCAACGGCTTGGCAGCGAAGGCCTCGATTGACAGAGCGCGCAAGTCGGACCTGCCAAAGAGGATCTCGGTCGTCACCTGGGGTTTAGGGTTTAGGGTTTGGGTTTAGGGTTTAGGGTTTAGGGTTTAGGGTTTAGGGTTTAGGGTTTAGGGTTTAGGGTTTAGGGTTTAGGGTTTAGGGTTTAGGGTTTAGGGTTTAGGGTTTAGGGTTTAGGGTTTAGGGTTTAGGGTTTAGGGCTCAGGGGTTCAGCTTTTTGCTGCCTTCTGGCTGAGTTTACTCAGGGCAAAAGGTTGATGCTGCGGTTGTCATGCGTTTAGAATGTCCAAGAAGGCCTGCTTATCTGCTCAGCACCTACCCTAAACCCCCCCAAACCCTCCACCTACCTGCCCTTCAACCTTGCACACCCAAAGTTACAAGAAATGCAACAGGGCGGAGACCCGCAGATGGGGCACATGGTGCCACTCAGATCAACCTCCCAACCCTAAACCCTACTTACCCTAAACCCTAAACTACTTACCCTAAACCCCAAACCCTAAACCCCAAACCCTAATCGAAACCTTAAACCCTAGACCCCCCCCCCCGCACCTCCACTTCAATTTTGCATGCCCCCGACAGGATGTTGCGGAGAGCCTCCTGGAGAACCCGAAACTGTTGCAGCTGCGGGTCAGGGTGGCAGTTCCCGATCCACCTCGGTCAGGCACTTCTGGCGCCTCTTGTTTGGGGGGTGGGTTTCGGGGGTTTTGGAGGGGTGGAGGGTAAATTTAGGGTTTAGGCGGTTCAGGGAAAGTTTGGTTTTTGAGGGTTTGAGAACCTGCTGAGATACTCCTGAAGGAGACCTTCTTTGCCAAAATCAAGGAGATCACAAAAGATCCCCCAAAATACCTGCCTAGCCACTGGTGGGAAACGAAGATGGCCTTGCCCCGAGTTGGGTCGAAGACGGTGAGGACACCCTCATGCAGCAGCGCTTCGTGCGCCTTCACTTCGGCCATCTCGAGCAGCGCATCCACAGGCACGGTGTACCTAGCTTGGGCCCCTAGAAGCCGAAGGAATATCCCAAAAAGGATCCTCCCAAAATGCCCAGATGCGGGAAGCGGCACAAAATCTCCTAAGACCCTGCCTAGGTACATTGGGAAGGTGATCGGCGAGGCGCTGTCATCCTCCTCACCGGAGCGCAGCTCCTGCGCGAGCTGGGCAAAACCGGCAAAGCCGGCAAACCCAGACCCAAGACCCTCCAAGCAAGCCTCAGAGGGTTTAGAGTTTGGGGTTTGAACAGCCTTGAGGAAAAAACTCGAAACCCCAAATCCTGCATTCATCCCCTCTCTCTCTCTCTCTGAGGGTTGGGGCTTCCAGAGAACCGCGTCTCCTTCTTCAGCTGCGCGGCATAGTGCTCTAAATCTGTTTCAGGAAGCTTGGCGCTGCCGCACGGCATGGCACAGAGTCTCACAGGCCAAGCTTACTGGTTCTCGGAAGAGAAAAGTCGGGAACTAGGTACAGAATCTGAAAATCCCCCCTATAAAACCCTGTGAGATGCACTGTGTGGGAGCCTTGTATAGGGGTCGGAAGAATTACTACTAGCATCGCCTTATGATCCCGAAATAAATATACCATAACAACCCCCCAAACCCGATACTATTCTCATTACCAAGGCCCCTATATTGCCCTAAACCCTAAACCCTAAACCCAAAACCCTAAACCCTAAACCCTCAACCCTCAACCCTCAACCCTAAACTTGCTTGGTTCCCGATATAAGAACCAGGCAGCAACGGCTTAACTAAAGCCATCAAGCTTGGGCCCACGTCGACTCAAGGAGATGGGCCTTTAGGGTTTAAGGTTAGGGTTTAGGGTTTAGGGTTTAGGGTTTAGTGTTTAGGGTTTAGGGTTTAGGGTTTAGGGTTTAGTTGAGGGTAGAGGGTAGACGGTCGAAAGGGATGGCAGCTCCTTAGAGCAGGGTCAGGGGGTGCCGAACATGAGGAGGTAGGACAGGGGGGGAAAGATTCTGGGGCCTCTTGACCCTCTTGAGACGATCCTTCCTAAGGAGAATTCACCCCATCCCCCCTTAACATGACAGGAAGATGATGAACTTGCATCCTGCGCGACCCTCGAGATAGGCTTACCCTCCGCTGAATACTTGCTTTATTTGCTTAAGAACCCCCCCAAAAAATAGAAGTTAATAATCCCTATTTGCCCTTGCAAGGAAGAATAGCCTTGTTTCTTTGGGAGCTCTGAGGTAGATGGGGCCTGGGCATCGCAGGGTGGCCTCGCCGTTCAGGATTTAGGGGGTAGGGGGGTTCGGCATTTAGGATTTTGGACATCCTACTATCTGGGGGGGTCTACACTGGTGGTCCCGCCTGAGTCTCGTAAACCCCCAAATAGCGCTCTGGGCTTCCTAGGCTTGAGGCTTGTCAGGGCTTGGGGCCCGGCTGTCACCAACCCTAAACCCTAAACCTTAAACCCCAAGCCTTCACCCCCCACCCCCCACCCCTCCTGATTCCGGAGCCCAAAACACCACTGCACAGCCGCAGTGAAGCACGGGACTTTTCGAGCGCGAATGGGCTTCTTCGTCTTGACATCGGCGGGACTTGGGGGCGGGACCTGTGGGCGCGACGAAATGCGAAAGAGCTTCTTTCAATGCCGAGCTTCCGCTTCCGACCTTGTATGATACCCATTTGCAACGTGCAAGGGTTTGCATCGTACTGACTACACTGGATGCAAATCTGAATACTGCTTCATGTGCAATGTGCATGTAGCCCCGCGTTTTAAACCTGCAGACATCATGCAGGCATGTGCCGAAGGTGTTCCCGAAAACCTACACCCTGAAGCTTCACTGCTAAAACCTGAAGCTTCACTGCCAAACGCCAAACCCCAAACCCCAAACCTTAAACCCTAAACCCCAAACCCTACTCCCTAAATCCTAAACCCTAAGCCCTAAACCCCAAACCCTAAACCCTAAACCCCCCCCCCCCCCCCCCACGGGCGTGCCGCCTACCGCGCCACTAGCGGCGCAGCTGCAGGAAGCTGGCGCCCCGAAGGAACGACTTGGCTTTCATCAGCCCCTGGAGGTGTTTGAGGGTTTGTAAGGGTTTAGGGTTTGAGGTTTAGGGGTTAGGGGTTTGGGGTTTAGGGTTTGGGGTTTAGGGTTTGCGGTTAGGGTTTAGGCTTTGGGGTTTTAGGGCTTAGGGATAAGGTCTTTTGGGAGCTTTATATATGATGCTTAGGGTTCAGGGTTTGAGGTGGGGGCTTGGGGTTCTGGCATTTTTAGGACCTCGGGTTTCGAAGGGTGTTGGGTGAGGCCAAAGGCCCCCTGAGGGAGATCGACGGGTTTAGGGTTTAGGGTTTAGGGTTTAGGAGGATGGTTAGTATCTCTTGTTGCTTAGGGCTTGCAGGGTTTTTGGAGTTTTTGCTACCTTGCTCTGGGGGGTGATACTGGCCGGGGGCTTCTTCCAGGGGTCAGGCGTCTCGAGATTTTGGCAGGCATCTTAGCATGGGCCCATTTTGGCACCTAAGCCCTCAGTACCTCCTCCCTCCCATATGGGTATCTTTTTGAAATTAGGGGTACCCTCTTATGTAATCTACCCCCAAAATAGCATAATCCTTCTGATAGGAACTCCCAAAAAGGGTACCCAAAGTAGCATAATCCTTATTATTAGGAACCCCCAAAAAGGGTACCCGAAGTAGCATCATCCTTGTTATTAGAAACCCCCCAAAGAGGGTACCCGAACTAGCATATAATCCTTAGTATACGAACCCCCAGTTTAGGGTTTAGGGCTTAGGATTTAGGGTTTAGGGTTTAGGGTTTTACGTAAACACCCATATCCGCGCCTCGACCTCCTCGTTGCGCGCGGTCTGTCGGAGCTCGAAGTTCTTGAGGAGGAAGTCGCAGGCTGAGCGGGTGCTTCGGTTGTTTAGGGTTTAGGGTTTAGGGTTTAGGGTTTAGGGTTTAGGGTTTAGGGTTTAGGGTTTAGGGTTTAGGGTTTAGGGTTTAGGGTTTAGGGTTGGTAGGAGAGCTGCTGCATTCGATGCCCTAACGCCTGCGCCCCGAAAGCTGGATACACCCGAAACCCCAGACCCTAAACGCCAAACCCCAAACTGTAAACCCTAACCCCCTCCCCCCCCCCCCAAAAGAAACACCCTTTTGGCTCCCGGCTCTCGTGCAGATTCGCCTGTCCAAGCCAAGGGCGGAAGTATACTAAACCGGGTTTGGGGTTTAGGGTTTGGGGTTGAGAGCACGCTGCAAATGTGACAGCAAACTTGGGATGTTCCTTAATAGGGATGAAACAGAGGGTACTACAATCCCTGTTAAGGACTGTTAGTATATGGGGGAACATCCCAATAGGAAGCTGTAGCTTAGCTACAGGAGAAGATGCAGGTCTCGGACAGAATATAAAAAACTAAGTTCTTCCAAGTAGGGGCCACCCCGAATACAACCCGCCCCCCCCCCCCCCCCCCCGAAAAAAGTACTACCCTAAATCCTGAATTTCCGAAACTCAAGGTTGACTTTCCGGACTATATACAGGGATTCGATTACACCAAAAAAAGGATAAAGGTTGCCAAACTCCGCTAAGTCAGCCCTCAAGGTCCTAAAAGGCCTTGAGGCGTTTGCGAGAGCATTTGGGGCTTTTTTGGGTTTAGGGTTTAGGGTTTAGGGTTTAGGGTTTGGGGGGGGGGGGGGGGGGGTGGGGGGCTGGGAGGTTTCGCACAAGGCCGACTCTGCCTTGTCCACGGCAAGGTCTGCAAGCTCCTGTCCCAACTCGGCTTGAGGGTTGAGGGGTTTAGGGTTAGGGTAAAGGGTTTAGGGTAAAACCCTTAAAGCCCCTTAAGCTCTAGGCCCTGAAGCGCTCAGGGTTCGGTTTTGGGGCTTTAGGCTTTGTTCAGGGATGGCTGGTGCTTGCAGAGGATTCGGGTTTGGGGTTCAAGGTTTAGGGTACTCGAAGCATCACACTCGAAAAGGCCATGTTTTTTGAGCGATACTACTTGCAGTGCTTCTGCTTGGCTTGTATGGGGTAAGGGCAGTGAGGGCTAAAGGTACTCTACTCTACCCATTCTCCCCATTCATGGTTCTAGTCGACAAAACCCTAAAAACTCAGTCTTACAAACGCGACTGCAAACAGACAAAAACCCTATAAAAAAAAACCTAGATAGACCCTCTATGAACCTCAAATAAAAACCCTACACAAACCCCAAATGTAAACCGTGTGTAAGCCCCTAAATAAGCCCGCCGCGCACCTCAAGGGTTCGGGGCCACTTGGGGTTTCGGACAAAAAACGGACATGAAGTAGGGCTTATAATTTCTTGTATCCCAAAAGGACACCAAACATATACACTCACCAATGCTTTAAAAAGGAAACCCTATATACACTCACCAAAAACAGAAATATATGCCCTGCTTCACATCCTCCCTAAACCCCGAAACGTAAAGCCCCAACAATCACCGAGCCTTGCGCCCAGGCCCGAGACATGGGATGCTCCCCCTTACACTAACAGTCCTGAACAGGAATTACAAGAGGGGGTACTATAATCCCTAACAAGGACTGTTATACCTTAGGCACCTAAACCCCCAAACCCCTGAACTCCGAGAGTTTACTCAACATACCCCCAACCCATCCCCCCTAACCTTCGTGGGTCACAAACCCCATAATTTCCTCAAACGGGTATGCCAAAGGGTATGTCACAACCATTTCTTAAATGCGCCCCACACCCCCAAAACCCCCCTAACAGGGGGGGAGAGTCTGTCCTTCTCAGTGCCTTTCAGGTTCGCCTTCTCAGAGACCACCGCTTCCTGCGTGCTGGCCTCACGGGGAAGCTCTTGTGTTTTCTTTTGGGGGGAGGGGGGTCTAGGGTTGGGGGATCAAAATTGCATGGCCATCTCTTTGCACCGACCGAGGAAAGGGACAACGTCCATGATGAGATTATTGCCAAGTCTAGAGCCTAGGGCGTTTGTACATAGGATTTATAGGCTTCGGGATCCGGCTGCCTTGACCTTGGCCAAGCTATTCAGCTCGCCATTCAAGGCGGCGATGTCCGCGTTGGTGGCCTCAAAGCGACGGCTTCACACGGGGTGTCGGGTCCGTGCCCCCAAACCCTACACCCTCAGACCCTAAACCCCTTAAACCCGAAAACCCCAAACCCCCCCACCCCCCCAAAAATGGCACAATCCTATTTTCGGAATCGGGTACGTAAGTACGTACGTACGTACGTACGTACACACACACACACACACTTACACCTTCTCTGTCGTCCTTAGAGCGGTCCCTCATCAGGGTCACGGAGTGAAGGGAAATCCCTGAAAAGGAGCCCACAGGTTGCTTCGGAGCCTTGCTAAGGGACACACTACGACGATAAACAGAGGGGTAGCCCCTATGTTTGGGTGAAAGGTTCTTGACTGATTATCTAAACAGCGAACTTGTGGAAGCTTTTTTGGGGGCTAAAGAA